TGAGATGAAGCTTCCTCTCACCGGTCCAGAACCCGACTGTAATCCTGAGGCCCGCAGCCGCCTTCGCTCTTCAGTTCAGCGAAGATCTGCGTGAAAAAGTGCGGGTCGGCGTTGATGCGCAGCATCTTGGAGCTGGTGGCGTCGATGATGGCGAGGCAGCGGTCCCAGAAGGCCTCCTTCCCCGCCTCCACCAGGAAGGGCTTGAGCGGGTACGAGATCTCGTTGCCCATGTAGGAGTAGGACAGGTAGAGGCAGGTGAGCAGGATGGCTTGCAGCTCGTGCTCCGACGCCACCAGGTCGCCGTCCACCACGTCCCGGCACAGCATGTAGACGAACACCACGTTGGCGGGCGTGACGAAGGCCTGGTCCTGCCAGCCCTGCAGCAGCAGCGAGCGGTCGACGGCGCGCAGCCACAGCACCGGGTCGGCCGGGGACAGGTGCTTCAGCCGGTAGCAGCGGCAGCACAGGAACTCCCCCAGGCAGCGCAGCAGCTCGCTGGTGGACGCCTGGACGATGACGCGCTTCGGGGAGGATGCCCCCTGGGGGACCTTCTTCACCGAGGACAGCTGCTGCGGCTTGCCGTAGCCATATCCATGGCCCAGGCCCAGTCCGTAGCCCAGACCCAGTCCGGCCGGACCCTCGTAGCTGGAGAGGTTGGCGCAGGACAGGGACTTCTTCACGTTCTCCCGGTTCAGGTGCAGCACCTGATCCCGCTGGTAGATGCTGTTGTTGTTCAGGGGCTCGGCCAGGACCCCGGCGGCCCCGGGCCCCTTCTTTGGGTTCCCCTTCTTCTTGGTGGAGGCCACCAGCCGCTTCCAGGTCAGCGCCGGCAGGAAGATGGACTGGCCTCTCCTTAGGCCGCGCTCCTTCTGGCTGTTCAGGGAGCGGCTGCTGAGGCTCGGGTAGTGGCTGAGCGAGCCTGGGTGGTTGTCATAATAACCAGGTTTGCGAGCGCCTGGCGACAGAGACAGCACGGTGCCCATGGTGGGTCGGAGCGCCGCAGGTTGGACCACCTCACTGCGGTTTGTCTCTCAGAGTCCAACGGACATCACAAAGAGAAGAAGGCGAGAGCTGATGGAGGCAGAGAAGAAGAAATCACAGTCCGTTTTTTATTCTGGTTTAGGACATTTTCACACTAAATAGTTCCTTAGACTCAGTTCGATTTGGGAAAACTGCAACAATTGTTCTATTTTCAGCTGTTGCGGTTCTCCTTGTCAAACCAACCAAACCATTTGAGCAACTTGTTCCCCTCCTGGCCTGAGGGGGCACTGCACCGAGAACCACTGAATACACTGAGCGCAACTTCCTTCTTCACCAAATGGAAACAAAATTGGAGGCGTAAAACTTTATGGTTGGAAGATTTCTGTTTTGTCTTTGATTAAAGACCATGAGTCATTTCTCCCGCTAAGCCAGTGAGTTTGTTTTGCTTGTATTTACCCAGAATTCCCAGCACTGTAGGCCACTTTCTGCTTTTGGAGCGTCTCTGGTCAGCTTGGCATTCAAACTGCACTTAAACTGCATTCAGACTGCGGTTGGTAGGTGGTGCAGAATTCTTTTTTTGGGGGGGAGGGTTCGTTTACGAATCCACTCCTCCTGAAACGGACAGGACTTTCCAGGCAATCGGACTGGAGTTGGACTAAAGAGAACTGAACAGGGCTGGTGGGAATTCAGCCTTATTCACAAAGCATCAAGAAACACAAATTAAGTGGAAACTCAAAGATGAAGTTGTTGGAAAACTGGATTTAATGGAGGAAAACTGAACAAATCAAGAGAATGTTTGAGAATTCTGGGTAATTACAACCAAAACAAATGTGCTAGCCTAGCGCTAGCTGGAGAAACGTCTTGTTGAAATCCTCCAAACCGCTAAAACCTGACGCTTCCAATTTTGTTTCTATTTGGTGAAGCAGGAACTTGCACTCAGTGTCTCCTTTAGAGGTTTTTGTGTCTTTTCTCCAGTGGCTCTTGGTGCAGCGCCCCCACAGGCCAGGAGGGGAACAGGTCGCTCAAAGGGTTTGGTGGGTTTGAAGACAAAGTGGAACAAATGTTGTGACCGAGTCTACTGGACAGTCATGTGGGAAAATCTGCACAGATCAGATTCTACTCCGACTGAAGCGGTTTTGTTTGGTCCAGAGAAACAGAAACTCTCAGCTCACCTGTGTCTGTGGAGGTTGAAGGTTCCGGTCCAGTTCCTGCCGCAGTCCGAGCAGCAATAGAGAGAAAATGATTGTGCGCTCCAGGCGGTGACAGGAGGGCGCACAGTGTGCGCAATCACTGGAAAGCTGCGGCTTTTGCGCTGAGACTGTTCAGCGGCTGCGGCGCTGCTGTCATCCCCCGCCGCCCGTCACAGGCAGCCGGAAGCGGCTGGCGGCTGCAGCCGGCTCCGGTGCATGATCACAAACCGAACTGCAAACTTTCACCGAGTCCTTTCAAAGCATTCCATCTTCTCTGTGAGCCACAGAAAAGTCCCCCCAGAACTCCCTCCGGTTCCGGTCCGGCTCGGCTCTGTCCAGCAGCAGCAGCAGCAGCAGCAGCGGTCCGCGCTGCTGGAGCTCCAGAGGCTGAATGAGCGGAGCTGAGAGCCGCTTCAGTCCGAGGTCTGAGCGCGCAGAGCGGGAGGAGCTTCAACACACACACACACACACACACACACACACACACACACACACACACACACACACACACACACACACACACGCACACGCACACGCACACACACACACACACACAAGGTTGGAATAGGGAATAATAATGGAATAAAAACATCGCAAGGTTCTTTCGTCATGTACTGTTTGAGGGACAGTGGAGAAAAACATTTAAATATGCATTTTAGTTAATGCAAAAAATTATGTTGTACTTTTTAAATATAATTTTAAAAAGCTCCAAACATATATAAATTTTTATATTTTCTTTTATTCTATTTAACATTTAAATACAAAATAGTTTTGTACTTTTTCTTGTTCAAATGATTAGAAATAATTTTTTTAGTCAAACTGAAGGATAATTTCTCAGCTCTGTAGAAAACTCAGGAACTCTGTGGGAGAGAATTGGAGAAATTTACAAGTTTTCTTCTACAAAATGTATGAGATTATCAGACTTAGAAATGTTCCTGTTTTGACATTTAGAAAATGTCTAGATTTTCTGTGTACCATGTCTTTAATACTTCGTTGTGTAAAGGAGCCGGCAGTCTGAGTCCAGCGGTTAACCTAACAGATGTTTGGAGGAAGCTGGAGTACCCAGAGAACATGCTGCCATGCAGACAGACTTAGACCCACAGAAATATTAAATATTAGATAAATGACCTCAGAAAGTACCGACAGAGTTTAGATCTGACTAATAATCTAAATGTTGTGTCTGAAATGTAAAACACAAAGCAGATGGATGAAAGTATGATTAAATGATGACGAAGTTTCCTGCAGGTCAGCTGGACTAAGCCCCTCTCACCTGCTCTCAGGTCAGCTCCGGTTATGTAACCAAGTCCGTCCGCGTTGTGGGTCACGCAGCCGCCCGCCTGTCAGGGATAAGAGGATCAGACAAGGTAGGAGAGACAATAAATTTATCAATCAACTGATCGGTTTCTCCTCAAACAGATACTCATTATTGACCCCAGAACTTCCAGTTGTTTACTGCAAAGAAATTCCTGTGCAAAAGCAGCAGAGCTGGTAGTTCAAAGGTCACCTAACCCTAACCATCATCAGTCCATCAGTTTCTAGTGAGGAAGATTAATCACAAGATAATTTTAAAGATTTAAAAATAATAATTAAAAAACTTTATATAAAAGAACATGCAATAAAAATGTAAAGATAATGTATAAAAAAAAATGTTTTAAAAGTTATTAATAGTTATTTGCTCGATAATTTAAAATATTAAAAAATAGTTTAGAAAATACAATAAAAAATATTTTTTTAAAAATAATTAAAAATATTTATAGCATAAATATTGAAAAAATAGGTTATATCCTATATAATTAAAAAAAAATGAAAATAAAAGATAATACAATTCAGAAATAAAGTAAAAAGATATCGTATATCACAATTTAAAATGAACAAACTAAATAAAATAACAGATTAAAGCATTAAATAAATTCATGGAGATTATCTCCAAAACCATTTAATATATGAAAAATAAAAATTAAAAAAGGTAAAATGAATTAAACAATTTAATAAAAACAGTAATGATGAAATAATTATATTTCTGGGATATTTTTTGAGCAGATGAGGGGTTTGGCCATAAAGCACAGCAGCATGATGGGAGTCGGACACAGTGCAGGACACGGTGGTGGAGGGATCATTCTGTGCACAGCAGCAGATCTACAACACAAACAAAGGGCTACAGTGGTCGAGGTGAGCAGAAAAGAAATGAAAAGTTTTGACGCTGAAAGCAGCCTCAGATGTTTTCACATCAGTAAGAATCTGGAATGTTAGATAAACTTCCTTCCAGAAATTCCCAGAGAGATGAAACGTCCGGAAATGGGAAGCTCCCGGGAGCCATGATGTGCCGAGGAGATAAGAGAACAGTGCAGACACAGAGCAGCAGGCGGAAAATAATGTGAAAACTCAGTTAAATTCAAAATTACTGATCATTTTTAGACACCTGTAAACAAAATGTTTACGTGAACAGAGGATAATTCTGCCATGATGTAAGGAAATCCCTGTCGGCTGCCAATTCTGGTCCAACCTGGCCTCTAATCCCTGATCTGCTCCTTAGATTAACTTTATTCTTTTTTCATTTCTCTTCAGTCCAGAAATAGACAACATCCTTATAATTAGAGCGCAGGGATCCGTTTAAAGGTGTGAGGTGTAAGCCTGCTGGAGCAGGGCCAGAGGTTAGTAGTTAACTGGTTCGTAGCGCCTGGATTAAAGAGCAGAAAACTACTGATGGGTTTTAAACTCACTGTGAAGCACAAGTGGCCGACCCGGCAGAAACTCACATGTTTATATGAGTTCAGAGACAGAGTGCAGCAGTGTACTGTAGCACAACTAAAATGACATTTTATTACAAGAATAAGGTCATAATACCAGGAGAGCAGACATATGATAATACAAGCAAAATGTATAATATATACTCTAATATTACTACAGTCAAGTCATAAAAATATGAGAAAACATTATAATAGCACCAGAAGAAATTTAATATTACCCAAGTAACCTCAAAATATCAAAAGTCATAATAATATGAGGATAAACTTGTATGACAGTAAGTCACAAATATTACCACAACAAATTTGTTATAATACAAGCAAAATGTCGTAATCCTGCCAGAATAAGCTCATTATATTAGTACAGTAAAATCATAGAAATATGAGAAAACATTATAATAGCACCAGAATAAACTCATATTATAAAAGTCATAATAACATGAGAATAAAGTCATAATATTACCAGAATAAAGTACTAATAATACAAGTGTAGGAGCAGATGGTGTATGTGTGTTTGTTGCTTGGTTGTTTGTCCTGTGTGTCTGTTTTGCCTTTTGATGGAGGAATTTTATCTTTTTTATTTTTTAACACTAAATTTTTATGTTCTTATCAATTTCCCCTTTTTGAAGACGAGGAAGAAATGATACCCACCCATATTTGGGAAGTCGTTTTAGGCGGAATACCAATCAGAAGCAATGGGGGGCGCTGTCAGTTCACAAACAGTAACACAAAGTGACAGAAAACTTGTGACAAGACCCAATGCTTGAAACGTCACTAAACCTTTTAAATAACTTACAGTGTGCAGTTATGTGGAGCTAGATTTCTTTACGGGGACCGGCCCTTTCTCACACACACACACACACACACACACACACACACCACACACACACACACACACACACACACACACACACACAACACACACACACACACACACACACACACACACACACACTCCGTCCTCATTTTCTCCAACAGCTGCAGGACTTTGAGAATCTCCTGCACAGCTGACCCGGATACGCTGACAGCTATGAAAAGAGCTGTTGTTGACCACTGCTGACCCACTATTATTCATTCCCTACACACACACACACACACACACACACACACACACACACACACACACACACACACACACACATGCTTGCACGTGCTCAGCATCACTCTAAAACATGAGCACCGACCTGTGGCGTTGTCTTAATCCCGGTTATGACATTTCACTTTCTAAATCCAGAGATTAAAGGTGGATGAATCTCATTTGTTATCCTGAAACGTTCCCCTTCAGCAGAACATCAGAGGGAGATTTAAAAAAACAAACAACTTGTTTACTCGTTTCTCTCTGGGTCAGACTCAGGACATTTTCATTTCATCTGACCTACTTTTGTGATTTAGCTGTGATTTCCCCGTCATCCTCCAGAAATGATCAATGAAACAATGTCTTTGATCAGGCTCAGCTTGATCTTTTCTTTCTAACTGATCAGCACCAAAGTGAAACTTTAAATTATTTTCTGTCTCTTCTGCAGCAGTCCTTCCTTAAAATCTGCACTTCATAAGAAAAAGCTGTTCTAGTCAAACCCTTCAGGTTCTGGTCCAACCCTCCAGGTTCAGGTTCAACCCTCCAGGTTCTGGTCCAACCCTCCAGGTTCTGGTCCAGCCCTCCAGGTTCTGGTCCAGCCCTCCAGGTTCTGGTCCAACCCTCCAGGTTCTGGTCCAACCCTCCAGGTTCTGGTCCAGCCCTCCAGGTTCTGGTCCAACCCTCCAGGTTCTGGTCCAACCCTCCAGCTTCTGGTCCAGCCCCAGGTTCTGGTCCAACCCTCCAGCTTCTGGTCCAACCCTCCAGGTTCTGGTCCAACCCTCCAGGTTCAGGTCCAACCCTCCAGGTTCTGGTCCAGCCCTCCAGGTTCTGGTCCAGCCCTCCAGGTTCTGGTCCAACCCTCCAGCTTCTGGTCCAGCCCTCCAGGTTCTGGTCCAACCCTCCAGGTTCTGGTCCAACCCTCCAGGTTCTGGTCCAGCCCTCCAGGTTCTGGTCCAACCCTCCAGGTTCTGGTCCAACCCTCCAGGTTCTGGTCCAACCCTCCAGGTTCAGGTTCAACCCTCCAGGTTCTGGTCCAACCCTCCAGGTTCTGGTCCAACCCTCCAGGTTCTGGTCCAACCCTCCAGGTTCTGGTCCAACCCTCCAGGTTCTGGTCACCCCTGGTCCAGTTTGTTTGGACACCAAGAAAGTGGATGAACAAAGATGGCGGCCACCCATCACACCTTTGTCAGTTGGCCACTGAATCAACGTGTGAAGGTTTCTGTTCAGTTAAACAAAAACTTGTTAGCAGGTTATCTTTGGAGTCAGCACATAGCTTCAGCTGTTACAGGGAGGAACCAGGGATCAGGTCCGAAATCTGGGTCTGAACATGCAGAGCCACATAAAGACAGTTACAAAGTCAGTCCTCTATCACCTGAAGAACATTTCCAGGGTTAAAGGACCAACGTTGCGTCAAGATTAGAGAAATCCATCCAACCTGCAGAAACACTGAGTTCCTCTAAAGTTTCTTTAGCTTTACCTCATTACATCTTCCTTTAATTAAGAACAATTA